CATTCTTATTCTCAAGTGGCAACAGAGTTTTAAATAGCACAGAGGACAGGCAGTGTATTACAACCTTACATGTAAGGAATTAGGGACTCAAGTTTATAGGTTGGGGACCAGAGGTGCACCTGATAAGCACACTTGGAACACGCTTCCAGCCTAAAACCTCACCCAGTATCACAAATCTAATATTTCTAGGTCTCCCTAAAGTTTCCATGTCAGGGAAATAAACAATTCATTCTCCATGGTGTTAATCCCCTGCTCAAGTCTATCCTCAAAACCTAGTCAGAAAGTGCCACATTCCCACCTCCTAACACATCGTTAGAGTCCAGGTGTGATGCTGTGAGCTAATGCGCTAAACTGCAAAGTTGGTTTGAAGGGCAAGGCCGGCAGTTCAAGCGCACCAGCCACTCCTTGAAAACCCTATACAGGGTTGATGTTGTAACAGCTTTCAAAGCACAGAAATACTCCAGTTATTGACTAGTCACATCAGACAGACTAATCTGAAAAAAGGTCCTAGCAGCAATTTTTTTTTTTTAAACCTTTCTTTTTCTTCATTGAGACCTGGGTTAGCTGCCTCTAGCATTTTGGTGCTAGCAGGGTGATACCATAAAAAGATCACAAGCTTTTGAGTAAGGCCCACGTTTGGATCTGTTTCATCTTGAGGGATTTAGCGTGGGAGACCTCTCAGCTTATTTCCACGTGGATGAGATGGAGGGTGATGTATGCTTCTAAAGGATCTTGTGGTTATTAAGTACTGTCAAGTCTCTTCTGATTCATAGCAACCCTGTCTAGGGTTTCTAAGGAGTGGCTGGTTGGTATGAACTGCTGACCTCTGATTAGCAGTCTGGTGTTTACCCTAAAGCACCACACTGGAACTCCTCTAAAGGTTCTGAGAGGAGTAAATTAGATGTCTGTGATGTTCTTAACATGAAACCTAGGATTAAGTAAGTACTGAAGAAATGTTTGTTTCTGATTTACTAATTTCTAATTTAGTCCTCAAATGGAATTAAACTATGGGCAGGACACATTGTCTCAGAATGTTATATACTGGATTAGTTTAAGAAAAAAATATTTTAATTCTCTAAAGGAGCTCTGGTAGCGTAGTGGTTACAAGACGGGCTGCCAACTGCAAGGTCAGCAGTTTGAAACTACCAGCTGTTCCGTGGAAGAAAGATGAGGCATTCTGCTCCTGTAAAGATTTACAGCCTCGGAAACCCTGTGCAGGGTCCCTATGAGTTGGAACCGACTCCACAGTACTTAACAACAACAAGAATTAGGGCATTGAAGGCCAAATTCTATGTTCTATTCATTGAGAGACATTACCAAGTTACCTCCTTCTCTAAGGAAAATTGGTATTTTCATTTTGTTGATCAAGTTATTGCTTCCTAGGGCTGCTTTATGTCAGGGGGCTTCAAAATGTTTATGAAAAAATTCCATTGTCTTTTCATTTTAAATTCCCACAGACTTTTGAAGCCCCCATTGTGGTTGTTTTTGTTGCTGTCTTGTAGATACCAACCCATGGTGACCCCTTGTG